ATGAAGAAAAACTACATTTATTAGCTGATAATGAGGAAAACTTAGCATCTATTTTAGCTGATCGTGCAATAAATCCTGATAGTGGATATATTATAAGTCTTTATAATAAGTTTCGCACAATTCAACTTGGAGCACGAAATGGAAATAATATGTTCGAGCAGCTTGAAAGTGAAGTAAAAAATTATAATGAATTAGGACGTGGAAAGGCTGCCTTCTGTCCATTTGATAAAAAAAAGAAGCAAGCATTTGTTTTATGTATTGTTAGCAATTTGATGCAAAGAATTCATGAAACAATTCGGCAAGCAGGTGAACTATGCTATATTGATGCATCATCATCTTTTGATTCATTAAATACTTCTATAATTTTGTTGTACACAAGCTGTGCCGTAGGGGCATTACCTTTAGGTAAGGATAACAAATATTTTTTTATTAATTAAAAACATGTGATAACTATATAGTTTATAATGCTTAAATTTAGATTTAACTATTTGGAATTTAATCATCTCATGTTTTAAATCAGTAAAAATATTTTAAACCATTTTTTACTATCTCTACCTTTAGGAATTATTTTAACATCTGACGAATCAGAAAACACATTTGAATTTGCATTTAATTTTTTAAAAACAGTATTACCTAATAAGGCATTTTATAATAGAGGACCAGAAGTTGGACCAAGTATAATAATTACTGATGATTGTAAGGCTGAATGAAATGCACTTCGACGTTGTTGGAGTCAAGCAAAACTTCTTCTTTGTGTTTTTCATATACTGCAAGCATTTTGGAGATGGTTATGGAATGCTAATCACCATATTCATAAGGATGATCGGTTGACAATAATGGGACATATGAAATCTATGGTATATGCATCAGCAGAAATTGAATTAGTAACTTCATATGAAATTCTGCAACAGCAATATTTTACAAAATACCTAAATCTTGCTATTTATATTACTCACACTTGGAATCGACGACAAGATTGGGCACTTTTTTTCCGTATTGGTTTATTAACACGTGGAAACAACACTAACAATTATGTAGAAAAAAGTTTTGGACTGTTGAAAGATATTGTTTTTAGACGAACACAGGCTTATAATATTGTACAAATTTTTCACTTTATCATTAATAATTTAGAACATTTTTATAAACGTCGGCTTTTAGCTATTTCAAATCAACATCCTGGAAGAATGCATATTATGGAAAAGTTTTTATGTTATAAGCATGAGAATCTTAATCTTGAAGGCATTCTGCATAGAGAAGATGGCATTACATATGATGTACCTAGTACTACAGAAGTTGGAAAAATGTATATAGTTGACCCGACTATTGGAACATGTTCTTGCCTTGTTGGTATTTCAGGAGCTCCTTGTAAACATCAGGCTGCAATTGCTTTAAAGTTTCAAGAAGGAACATCTAATTTTATCGATACATTTACTATTGATGATCGAATGAATTATTTTTATATTGCAACTGGTAATTATCATTATATATTATTATTATTATATATTTAAGTTTGATAAGAAAGTCTTATAATCAATTATATATTTAGGTTCAATAGTTCAAGAAAGATCGTTTTACGCTTCTTTACATCCACAAATGCACCTAACATCTAATAATAGTATCATTGATCAATTAAAGATTCAAGAAACTTCAATTTCAAAATTTACATTAAATACTGAAGTTGATACAAGTGAAAAAATAAAGTATGTATATGTGTATATGTTGTGCGTCAAATTAAAACTTGATGTCAGATTAAAACCAACGTGTGTCAGATTAAAACCATAAGGCCAGCATTAAATGACCTGCAATAATCGGCTTTGCTAAATCCTAGTTCTCACCCTAACCCTAACTCTAATTTCGACCAGTTTTAATCTGATACAAGTTTTAATCTGACGCACGACATATATACTAGAATCTTTACAAATTAATTATTTACTTATGCTTTGCTTTTAGTTTTATAGTGGATACTAATAATAATGAAAAGCTAAATACTGAAATTGATCCGAGTGAAAAAATAAAGTATGTATATGTATATAGATTAGAATTCTTACAAAATTAATTAATCATTTATACTTTGTTTTTAGTTATACAGAGGATACAAATAATAATGAAGAGCTAAATCGCATTGAATCTTTAACTAGTTTTTTTTCATGAGGTGGAAAATGATATTAGACAAAATACACAACTTCTTTCAGCTTTTGAAAAATTTCAAAAAGGGTATTATGCTGCAAAAAGTCTCTCCGAAAATAGGTGGGTTTCATTCATCTATCAGCATGCAAATAGTCCTATAACAGTTCGAAACAGCACAAAAATACCTGTTCAAGTAGCATCAGTGCAAAGAAGAAAAGGAGCTGTATCGCATAGTCTAAAAAGAAAGACTTTGGGAAGACAACCATTAGATAATAAAGAAAATGAAGATCCACTTGAAATGCAACCAAGAAAAAAAAGAAAAACAATGCGAAAGCCACATAATTTGGCGCAAAATATTAATAATAACAGAGCTAATTAATTTTAGCTACTTTATTTTTTTTATAAATTCTTTTACAAACTTTGTATTAAGATTATATAAATAAAAAAAAAAGATGCATAGTTCTTATTTGCTTTAATATCGATATGAACTTAGAATCAGGTAATAATTCAAGTGGTAAATATGCATATACATATGTACAAATAAATATTCATCAGTATAACAATAGTATGTATGTTATGTACAGTACTGCAGTAAATACTTGTAGTGCATATGTAAGTACTTTTTCGTATAGCACTTTAAAAGTTTATAGACACTAAACTAGATCTTTTAATATTTAATACTTCGATATATTTGTATGATTTGTGTTAAAATAATAATCTAATAAATGATGCCAAACTTTAATGCTGATACCAGAAATACAAAAATTATTTGATTTGGCGTGATTAAACAAAATCGCAACAAATCAAATAATTTTATCTTATACTACATCCATTCGTTTTTACTCTATTCGTTTTATATTTATAGAAGTGTGCTAGTATAAAAAATAATTAAATAACATTCTTAGAAATAAGTTAAAGCGCACAATTAATGATGTTCTTAGTAATATGTTAAAGCGCACAATCAAATTAAATAATTTATAAATAGTCAAGGTTCTTTAAGGGCGTAACGGATATTTAATTAAATTAAATAATTCATAAATAGTCAAGAGCAGTAACGGATGCTTAAAAATAATAAAAAAA